AAATAATATGTCTATAGTATGAGGATGTGCTTTCTCTGTTAATAAAAAGATATCTGGAAAAATATTTTCTCTCAGCATGAGCTTCAAAGTTACTTTAAATTTCCATTCCCAAATATTGCTTGTCTTTGCTAAATACCAAAATATTATCCTTTACCCTACTTGCTCTTGTTAAGTTATCATATCCTGAAGGATATTCCAGAGAAGTTTCAGGCAAATCTACATAAAAGTAATGTTATATGTAAGATTAACTTGGTTCTTATGTGGGATGTAGTCACATTGAGTAATACTTCAGTTCACAGATGCTTCTGTTGACAAACAATTAGGTTCAAAAACAAATCACTTGGCAAAATTTTGCTTCTATTTGCAAACTCCACACTGGGTGACAAATACAACCATGACCATCTTCCTCACATAAACACAGATGTAGTTATATTCCCCCAAACTGTAAAACAAATTAAGTTCATAAATTGAAGTTATCACTGTGTCAAGGAGAAAAAATACCCCATCAAACCTCGAGAGAAGGAATAGCTGCTTGAATTTAATTTATGTAAATTAGGGCCATGATTATGAAAGTATAAGGAATACATGTGGAAAAATAAGATGATAATTAGATGGCAAAGAACATGTGGTGTCTTGAAAATTAAGCTTGGAGACAACTGAAAGTATCTATACTGCATCACTAAGACAAAAGGCTGTCACTGTAAACATGAAGTTCTATTCACAAGAAAGATGCAATCTTATGCTGCTGGGAGGGTAAAGCAACAAGCAGTTAGTATATAACAAAAAATTTTTTTTCAAAGGATTCTTTTACTCTCTTTGTCATGGTTATTATGTTCAGATACACTACTAGTAGTCCTTAGAAATTCATTGAGAATACAGTAACTGCATAAGAAGAATTTTTAACACTGCAAAAAGTTGTTATATTTTCACTTGTCACAGTCTATCCTCTTCTGGACAATGAAACTTGGCTTGCCCTTTCATAGGAAAGGGACCACTTACTGTCATCAGCTTTCCTGGTGAGACTTCCTCACCAAAGGATGACATTGTGACCTTTCAGGGGAGTGGTCTCCATGTCTGCCCTCTACATTGTGAACAATTTATTTGAAAATCTCCAATTATAAACAATTAGATGTATGTCTGAGGGGCATCTAGACTACCTTCAATGCTATTCAATTCTTCTGGAATAAAGTACTATGGGAGCCAGTCATAGTCTTCAGGCCCAGATCTGCTATGGAAATGGTAGCAAGCAATGGATGTAGAAATGAATTAAGTGACACATTGTGTGATCCATGTGATCCAAACAATTATTGGTATGGAAGTTTAGAGCAGAGGAGCAATTTCAGATTAAAGGGATGAAACATTGAGAATATATCAAGTGCTATCTACAACAAAATTCTTCCCTGAACTTTCTGTAAAGGTTCATCTTAGTTAATCTCACCATGGCATCTTTTTTATTTTTTAAAAATTTGAAATTTTATTAATGTCATTGGTACATTTAATGTATATAATATAATGACATTCACTGTTCAGAATTTGTACCTTTATTTAATCAATCTTGATTCTTATTTTTCTCCAATCCCCTGCCCTCCCTTCAACCCCTATCCTCCCTCCCAATCTACAAAGACTTTGTTTCCATTATTTTTTATTTTCTCACATTGATTCAATTCCCCCTTCTTTCCTTTCCCCAATCCCTCCCCATTTCCCCTTCCTCCTTGTCCCTTTTCTTCCTATTTCATATTATCTATTATACCTTTTAGTTCTTATTTACACTTTCAGTTTCTCACACTAGAAATGAATAGACATTTCTCAGACAAAAGTAGAAATAGTATATAAACATACAAAAAAAACGTTCAACATCACTGATCATCCGAGAAATGAAGATTAAGTGCTGAGATTCCACCTAGCCCCAGAAAGAATGGCTGCTATCACAAAGTCAACCAATAACAAATGCTGGTGGGCTGTGGGGAAAGAAGAATACTGCTCCACTGCTGGTGGGAGTGTAGATTGGTGCAACCACTGTGGAGAGCAGTATGGAGATACCTCAAAGAACTAGTATTGGAAGTCCCATTTGTTCCCCTGCTGTGTATCTCACCATGGCTTCCTGATGTGGGTGCTGGTACTGAATCCATTTCATAAAAAAGAAAACTGGAGCCTAGGCAATTTAAGTGGCCACAGGGTCAGAGAGTAGATAATAGAGCTAAGGCTAAGCAGTGTGATCTAAAAAAAAAAGCTGATATGGTTCACCTCGCTTGAACAGTTACACATCAGTCAAAAAACTGTGATCTCATCTGGATCAAGAGTGGACCAGTATAGGAAATTGGCTAAAACATTTTGTAGCCTAAAGATAATGTTTAAAGTTCTATATTTAGTTTACTAAACTTTAGATTTTAGTTGACTTTTTTTTTAGAATATCATTATTTAAAACTGGAATAATTTCTGTTCAAAAGGAATACTTGGTCTTTTGCAAGAAATGAGGTAAAATACTTAACTTGGGGATCGTTTATCCAAAATGGTTGGAATAAAAAGTGTTTCAGATTTCAAGTTTTTCTATTTTGGTCTTGGATATTTGCATAAACCTTACTGGTTGAGTATCCAAAATGCTATAAACTACAAAATTTGGAGCTCAGTGTCAGTACTGAAAAGTTTCATATTTTAGAGCAGTTTGGAATTTCTGATTGTGGTGCTCAATCTATAACACTAACTAGGTTCAACACCATGGAAAACAATGAATGACTGGAGCCAGCAGCTTTCTGGTCTTCTGACATCTAAGAGCCATCAGCAACCTTGAGTCAATGGGAGTACGGAGAGTTCTAGGAAACTCACATAATGCCAATGTTCTTGCTATGAATGCAGCCTTTGACTTTGTACCAATGCAGAATTTTTCATTGCATGTCAAACTTGAAGGTATATATTATATCTTCTTACATTATGTTATGGGCTGTGCCAGATGTCTGAGTTGCTTTACTTAATCCATGAGAATACTAAGAGATGTGTCAAATGTTCCTCTAGGGAAGTAAATCGCTTCAATAAGCTATGAGGGATATTCTTCAGAACAAAATCCTTTCTTAAAACATGTAATATGGGCCTTTTAATCCCCATTTACTCAAATACCTGATATTTGGGACATTCACCTCATTTAGGCAAGGCAACAAGGGATCAAGTTTGCATTATTTTAAAAAACAGTGCTTTTATAGCATCATAGCAAATGGAACAAGAAACAAAGTAAGGAGCAAGGGAACATGAGATCATTGCCCTCCTTCACACTTAGAGCTAGCTGTTGGAACCAAACTCAAATATGACTTTGAGAGACTTTCAGTTATTTCTCTTAAAATCCAAGGGTCAACTACTCCGTCCACAACATGTATTATTTTAAGCCTCTTTATCTTGGTGATGTATTTTAATGATGGAAACAGCTATTTTAAAAAATCACAACCTTTTCAGTTCAATATCAAAGTAATCATTGAAGTGGAACCTTGTAACCATCACCATTTTTTTTATCTTTGTCTTTAGCTATCATTTTTATATTTCAGAAACAAGGTCTCCTAAGATTAAATGTGGTATTGATAACATATCATACAGAGTCTACTGATAAGATGAAAGTTTTTCCAAAGTAAATTATTTGAGTATCATAATTGTATATAATGAATACCATATACTGAAAGCCAACATTTTGGTACAGTTAATAAGAAACAGTTTTAGCTATAAATCCTTTCTTTTAACCAATTCCATTACCAGTCACTTTTGTCCTTTCTTTATTAATACTTTTCTATATGAAATCACTGTACTGATGATGAAACTACTGTGTCTCTGGTATGATTCTTAAACATCTTCTCACTAGTGTTAGTTTTTCTAAAAGTCTTTTTTGACTATTTTAAAAATATGTGTAAAATATTAGTAAGTGAAGAAAAATAAGTTACAGTTTTTCTTGGTTTAAGTCTCATAGAACATTCTAAAAATGATTTCTTACTGTATCTTACTATGAAAAACAATATGGAAAGGCTGAGAGAACCATACTGCATTTTTACTGTTCCCAGGACGCTAGTCCGGGACTATTTTACTTCACATGTCCTAAAAGCAAAGCAAAAGAGAAATAAGCTGTATAATTAGAGGGCTTAGATATAAAAGCTTCAGTGTACAGGCTATTAGTGCATAAGAGAGGGTTGGATCTCTTTTTCTTTCCCTTTCCCCACTCCCTACTCACATACACCTGTGCATAAACATACAGACACTATACAACACACGATCCTCTTGTCTCAACTGTATATTTGATGGCAAGTCTATTTTCAAAATGAGTTGTAAAATGGCAATGCATTACTGAATAATTCGTATCATTATGTATTTACTGTGCTTTGATTTTAAAAGATTATTTTTTATTTAACCTTTCAGGATAAAGCTATATAAAAGAAAATGTTAGCTATATTTTACTAGTCATTTTGGTACATTACTTTTTAGTAGTCTTAAAGTTTTAGTTTCTCATGTCTTTTGTATTTTAGATACACAACTTCAATGGACTACATTCCACTTTCCGACTCATTTATCTGATCTAAAAAACAACCAAAAACCAAAATGTCCACGATCAAATACTTGAGCTAAAGCATAAAGCAATCATTACCCAGAAACAAAATATCCAAATTACACTCTATCTGTCCCTCTCTGATAAATTGATAGATGAGGGTCCACTCAGAAAAATACCACTGATAAATGACACCGCACTCATAATGTCTGGACAGACAGGGCTTAAACTCAGAAAGGTGAATCCAAGTTCTGTGTTCGGATCTCAAACACGGAACCCTGGAAACATCGGCCCTTCCTTATGAGAGAATGAATTTTGACAATCAGAATGCTACTTTTTGGAGGAACAAAAATGGAGTCTGAGTTTTTCAGAATCAAGGGATGTATGCGGTGTGTGGATAATTCAGGTTGCTATGCGTTAAAGCCTCAATGAAGACCCGTGATTCTCATGCAATTACGAGATTAAAGTGAGATAAATTGGCACTCACAGTTGTGGCAGGTGGCCCCGCTGTAGCCTGTCTCATCACAAGTGCATTTGAAGCTGTCCCACGTTTGCGAGCACTTCCCACCATGCTCACAGTGATTGGGCACACATCTGTCGGAAAAAGAGAGACAAACAGAAATAAACCAACACACAGACGAGATTTATGAATGGCCAAATTCCAAGCTGCTTGGCCAATATATCATCTCAATGCCAGGCTGCCTTACTGTGGCAATTAATCCTTGTTAGTTTAAGCAGATTAATATGATTCATGATGGAAGGTGCCAAGCACAGGAAAGATAATCTATCACAGGCCCGGTGTTTCCCATTTTTGAGTAAACAGCAAATACAGACACTCAGTTGAGGGATCATTTGCATATCACAGATTCATTTTATTTTATTTTTTTACCTCTAGACAAAGACAATAGCTATGTTCCTGCCTGACGAGAGATGGAAGACAAGCCATCTTGGTTTCTGTTCTATTTTCATCTTTATTTAGACCCAATCCAAGCTAAAGATGAGTGACACTAAATTTTCCATAAAAATTTCAATTTTTGAAATAATGCTAGGCAAAAAGCCAAGAAATATACTAACATGATAAAGATTTCTAAATCTTCAGAACACTCCATCATATATAT